CATCTGGGGACCCTCACTTGATGTTTTGTGACCCACAAAGAGGTCCCGACCCCAACTTTATGAACCACTACACTAGATGAATGAAATATTAACAATATTCTGCTCACTGATAATATTGGCTCAGTTGGGATTTTAGTGCTTTAGATTTAGATTTTGCTAAAATTTTAAGTGTGTTAGTGCTTTAGAATGAGGGGACCTGAATATTAAAGTTAGTGCTTTAGGGTTAGTGCAACTAATTTTTAGATTCGTGCTGCCCACCACTATCATTGGGTTTTACAAATAGGCTAAGTTTTGCGTAGTAACTCGTTCCGAACACATCCTCTGACATCATGCCATTTTGCAAGAGATTGACATTATTTTCAAGGTTTCAAGGCAGGAAATATGCAGTCCGTCACGGAACACGAGGCCTTTAATTTTAAACTTTGTGAAAAACGCGATGAATTTCTGATCCAAAACTGAGCAAAGAGAAAAGCTTCATCTCAAAAACCTTAATATAAGTGATTATGAAGATCACTGAACAATCACTTTRTGAGAAAGAATTTGAAAATTTTCTGTTGATAATTTTTACTTTCTTGTATTTTTTTTTATTAGAAACAGAATCAGCAAAAAMACAACTTAAAATACAACTAAACACGTTTTCATTTTGACCCTTTTTGACATTTCTAACCCACTACTTTGCTGTGGAGCCACRGAAATCATCACAGACGCAACCTTGGTTTAATTTTTGGTTATCAGAGCAGCAGAGACCACAAGACAGAGTGAATTTTGGAGATTCATTTAAATCCTAAAATTAGCAGGCAGCTGATAAAACGTAGAAGCACATGACAGGAATGAGCACGCCAAGAGAGAAAGCTAGTTCCTCTCTCTCTTTTTTTTTCCTCTCTGCGAGGGGTTTTAGCCACTCTGGAGGGGCCAGGAGAATAAAAGCTCGTCCAACTGGCTGGCCAGATAAGCCAGACCAGAAACACACACACACACAGAGAGAGAGAGATACACAGAAGAAGGGTTCATCTGGTTTGCATGAGGACTGAGAGTCAAAAGAATCCAACTAACACCCTAAGCACACACACACATTGGGGGGCTTGAACAAAGATGCACTTGGTCAACAGCATTGTTGAGGCTGGCACTGATTACAGCTTTGCGCGCTCTCTGACTCAGGCTTCATCTCAGCTCCTCCATCCTTATCATCCCGCGCGCTCTGCCCCTGGCTGCCAAAGCTGCAGGAGGAGGCAGGGCAGAGGATTGCTGAGTATTTCTACAAATCTGTTTTTCCTCTCTCTCTCTCCTGATGATCAGAGATCTGATGCATTGCCCAGAATAACCAGAAGGGAAATCCTCATAAGCAAGCTTTTGCAGTCTTTTACTGAAGTAGTAAAAAAAAAAAAAAAAAAGCTGAATGAACCCTCCTCTCCTGCCTGACCTGATCCTGTCCTGGTCTAGCCTCTTGTCTCCGGCTTTGGTTGAGGCGTTCAGGGACGCTCTGCCTTTTGAGCATCTTCTGCCGCCGTCTGTCACAGGTGGTCAGCAGAGATTTCATCATTCTGGAGCTGACACGTCTTGCTCAGCGACAATCATTTCCCTTAGCCCCCCCCCCCCCCCCCCCCCCCCCCCCCCCCCCGTGCGCTCGAGAAGTGAACGCAACTTTCACCTTTCACAAAAACAGTAAAAGAAGAGCGCACTCACCTTGAAACAGCAGAAACAGCAGGAGACTCAGTCATGACGCGCGGTGCTTTTTGTGGGGGGGTTCAGGAGAAGCGTCCGGGAAATGAGAGCTGAAAACACGCAGCTGGTTTAATTGATTCTGACTCGCTCGGAAAGTCACCCGGACAGCAGTGAGCATCTCCCGGTCAGCCGCTGTGAAGGAGATGGTATCGGGTGACCCCCCTCCTCCTCCTCCTCTGCCCGCCCCGCCTCGCCTCGCCTCGCTCAGAGACTGATCATTTTCTCTAACAGGCTTCCTCCGAACCCTCTGGCTTTGTCTGGTCTGTCCCTGTCTGTTCGGATGCCGGTGCTACATGGAGTCATCCATCAGTTCACTTGCACCTCACGTACGGTGTGCGCTTTTAGACCCAGCCTCCGCCGCGTCACGCCGTGCCACAACTGGAGCGCTTCGTTTTACGCACACGCTTAAACTAAACTTCTGATGGATGTATTAATTGCATAATGTCCATCTTTAACGGAATGATACATTTAAATAGCTACATTAAAAATAAAGGTTTAATAAGTTTGCAGATGCCCTAAAATGTTTTTTAACTGAGTGTCCATTAAAAGCAGATAGAGATGTCAAATGATTGCTGTGTTTGTGCATAAACTGTTTGCTATAAGCTCAGATTGGATGGCAAAGAGGAAAAAAGAAAAACTATTTTAAAAATGATATATTTTGAAGCAAATTCGTGCAGGATATGCGCTATCTGCACACTCTGCAGGTTGCACAAGATTCCTGTGAAATACCGCCATCTGTAGGGAGATTAACGTAACTACAACCTAAAAATCCACCTACCATCCAAAATCATTTGTTTGAAATTGTCTTCTTTCAACGACACTATATTTGTGAGGAACCAAATGTAAACTGATCTCTGGATGATGTAAATGATGAAATTTATTTCCCAACAGTATAATATGAAGAAGCTGATGCGATGAGCACCAACCTGGCTTAACACACACCCCAATATATCATATATATAT